TCTTCTTGGAAAATTGTGCAAGAATAGATTGCATAGATAAGTGTCGCTCTGGAAACTATAGATAAGATACTGTTAATTTATGCTACGTAACAGACGTGAAGTCTGACGGGCTTGAACTGGTCACTCATGTCTGAAGCATGAGTAAGGGTTTTTTTTTACAACAGAATCAGGGAAGTAAGTGACACAGCTAACTGCCTGTCCACTTTCAGTTAGAGAGAAACACCTGAAAATAGAGAAACGCCTGAAGATAACAACACACACACACACACACACACATACTGCCTATATGAACATTCTAGAATATTTACATGTAATGTACCACCCATGTACAGGGCAGTCCCAGCCCGAGAAGATAAATGTGAATGATTTTTGATTATCTAGGCTTTTGGAGACTTGTCATCTCATAGAGCCCAGCGCTGTAATAACTCTGCCTTTAACCAGAAGAAAATAAATCTACGTAAAGCTGATACCTGTTTCCTGAGTGTTACTTCTTGGGGCCTTCAGATAAAAAAACCGGTTGCATCTAAAAGATGAAAGGAGCCTATCGTAGCATTTTACTTGTGCGGACCACCCAAAAGGTCCACACAAGAAGAAATGTCCACACAAGAAAGGTGTTCCGTCAGGGATTGGTTCGCACAAGTATATAAAGGCAAACTCACACACACACACACACACACACACACACACACACACCCCACCAACCTAGCATGCACTCTTGTGATCACAGGATTTTGGACTTTCACGAACAATTGTAGCACTGCTCACTGAATTAGATGTGACTATATAGCAGGTAGGGCATTGCTAAAAAAAAAAACGTATGGAATAATACAATGGACAAATGTAACTAAATTCTATTTGTTTTGTGTCATGTTTTATATGAACTTAAGAGCGTGTTGTTTGTTGTTTGTTGTTTGTTCCCACCAAAGCTGATACAATTGCCACCACCTACTATTTTAATTAAAATGCTGCAAATGTTAGCAAAAGGTTTTTCCTCTGATGTATAGTACATCTTCACTATTTTCATTCAGTTTAAAGTGGCTGTCAAAGGAACACAAACACAATATGGGATCAGAGGAATGGCTCTGAAATGGATTAGAAGTTATTTGACACAGAGGCGTCAATTTGTGAAGTTGGGTGAATACCAATCGAGTGAGCTGGAGATTGTATGTGGAGTGCCTCAGGGTTCTGTTTTGGGACCTAAATTATTTATATTATACATTAATGATATATG